CGGCGTAGCGTTGCCAGCCGAGGATGCTCCGCGCCACCGCAGCCGCAGTTGCAGTCGCCATGGCGCCGGGCATGTAGATGTCCCCGTCGGCATCCTCCTCCTCGGGGATCATGGGCGGCAGGTTGTGGCGTCTGCCCAGGCGGCGATCATCACTCCCAGGGTGCCGATCAGCGGTGGCCTTATCTTCTTGCTGCGGCGGCGGCCTGATGGCGTTCTGGGACACCATGAAGCGCACAACCGCGAAAAGGCGGAGCCCGATCGTCATGTCCAGGAACGTAGAAAAACATGTCATGTAGCACATGTACCAGTAGTGGTTCAGGTCGAACGGTGGTGGCGGCCCTGGGGTCGGCTGACCCCTTACCTTGCCGATGCACGCAGCGATCGCCGAGGCGATCATGGCGGCGTTGGGCTGCCTGGTGCCGAAGTTGTGCCTCTTGCCGCCGAAGTACGAAATCAGCAGCCCAGTCCCCATCACCTTCGTGAGTGCGTCTGCGACCATACTCCAGGTAGGCACCCAAATCAATCGCAGCTCGCTATTGGGGCGCGCGGACTCCATGCTCATGGAGGCGACGATGCGGAACCGCTTGTCGGTAGACTGGCCGGCATCGGATATGATGTGCGTGACGAGGCCCTGGCTGTCGCTGAACACCTCCCAAGGGCGCTTCAGGCTGAGGTCGTCGATCTCCTTGAGCGGCTTTTTGGGGTTGTAGGCCTCCGTGAGAAGCTGGTGGAACCAGGTGTTGATCTCGGTCCCCTCGGGTGGCGCACCCTTCGGCGGCCAGCGTGGACCTCGCGGACCTCTTGACGGTGCCGGAGTGCCAAGCGACAGGCAGGCACAGATCATAACGGCCCCCGTCGACATCACGTGGTCTGTGGGTGAGGCCCAGGACCATGCCCCACTGGCCCTTGATGCCAGCGATGTTGGCAAACGCGACGTCGCTGAAGCAAACCGTAGTGCAGGTCTTCAGGTCGATGAGGTTTTGCTTCGGCACGATGGCGAAGTCGGCGGGCCCGCGAAGGCAATTTACCGTCTTGTTGATTGTCTGGGCGTCGGCCACGGTGGCAACGTTGGCACGCCTGGCGGCCATGCTGACCGGGCAGGCGATGTCGACTCGCGTCTGAACGGCGAGCCAAAGCAGTTGGCCTAGAGTGTTTCGGTAACCAGACACCTCCCCCATTGACAGTTTGTCCCGCGGGGCGCGGCCCTTCGCGGCGGTGATCTCGTCAGGGTCCACCTGCTTGGCGGCGGTCACCTGCGTGGCGCGGAGCTCATCGTCCGTCTTGGAGATGATGCGGCCACAGTACTTGATAGTGCCGTCGACCTCCTTGAGATGCAACTTCTTCTCCAAGTTGCCTATGGCGCGCCGCCGCTCCGAGGCGTCGTTCCGCTGGGCAATCAAGAAATCGTCGACATGTGAGTGAACGGCCGCTGCGAAGCCTCTCGAATCGTAGAAGTAGTAGAGCCCCTTCTCGAGCCTGCTCTCGAGAAGACCGTGCTCCCTGAAGACCCTCTGAGCGTAGAGGTACGGCTGTCTTCCGGCATCGCGAGTGCCATAGATGGCGCCAGTCGCCATCGCGATCTCGCCGGGCAGTGCCCCTGGCGGCGGGTTCTTCGCTGGCATGCGAAGCAGCAGAAGCCTCTCGGCATTGCCGGGCTGGGGGTGGGCCGTCAAGGCGTCGTACGACGTGACATCCCAGCAAGATTTGTGAGGCAGCGGCGAGGGTAAGGTAAAATGCATCTCTAGATCCTGTCGGCGCATCCGCGCGGATCTGCGATTTGCCCCCCTGGCATTTTTGAACGGCGAGGCGGGCCTCCATGAGGTTAGGCCCTTTGCTGGTGAGCACCCAGCGCGTGACGCAGACGGCCCTTCTGGCCGCGCCTCTTGGCTGCCACCTGGACGTGGATTGGACTGTCACCCCAGGCCGCTACTGACCACCTGGTGGCGCAACGTTGCACATCGTTTTCGTGGTCCTCTTCATCTCCTGGGCCTCTCCTTGCCAGTTGGTGGCGCCTGTTGCACTTCGCCTACCTGGTCTTCCTCTAACCCTCGGGCGTCGACCCGGCCACGCCCCTCTCCACGCAGCGCTCGAGGATGGTGATTCTGACGCGCCGTTGACGGCAACGCCACTTCGCTCTCCCTCCTGGACTTCGCCTCCAGCTCCTGTCCAAGGCGTGCCTTTTCCTGTGCAAGCTCTTCGGCGCCGCCTGCGCCCCGCGCCCTCGGGCCGCCTGAGGCCCCGCCCGCCCGCGCCCTGTCTCCCCAATTAGTGCTTTGCGCCCCGCCTAGCTCTTAACCGGAAGAGGCCCGCTCTCGACCCGCAGACCAAAAAAGAGTGGTGTGGTTCCACAGGCGACGCAGTTGTCCGTGGTTTCGGCAATATAGGCAGTCCGCGTTGTGGACGACGTGGTAGTGGGCGTCGCTGCCGTAGAGCAGCAGGCCAAGGCAGATGCCATGGCGGCCATGAGCCGTGACCCCTCCGGGCGCCTTGCCTGGAGGCGCCGCTGTACGTCGATTTTATTCTTCGGGATAAGCATCGCGATGCGCTCCTGAAGCGTGGAGTCCTTCGTGGTATTGTTGACCGTTGGCAGCTGGTGCGTCTTGGTGTACGTAGTAGGGCCGGTCTTCGAGCTGTCGCTGCGACCTGTGCCCGTCATGGCATTCCAGTCTTCAGGCTGGAGCTGTATTGCGGGATGTCCCGCACTGCTTGCGACAAGCTTCTGAGTGGTGTTGCCGATGCGTATCTGGCCCTTCCACAGCGAAGTGACGATCTTGGAGGGCTGGATGAAGTCGCGGCCGATGAGTAACCCGAGAGTGGGACTGTCCACGACGCTGAAGACAATGCGTCCTGCGCGGCCGCAAGGCACGAGTGGGGCGGTGATGCGCCGCTTGCTGGGGAGCGCACCACCGTTGCCGATGCGGTCGACCTCGTTCTCTGGCTCCTCCAGGATCTGGTCGCCGAGGCCAATCTTCATGTGCTTGTCCTTGTAGCGGTGGTACCACTTGAGACCGGCGACGCAGAATAGGCAGGCGGTGTCAATGACGCCGATGCCGTCGTCGTTCGGGTTCATGCCGCTGTTGGTGGCGTTTATCATAGGCAGATCTGGAATGACGCGCTCAGAGACCAAGGTTTCCGGCGGCGGAGTGAGTGCCCCCCTCGGGATGAAGGGCGATCTCTTCGTCCCCGAATTCGACTTCCTCGGTGATGTTCGCCTGGCGGTGTGACCGTCCACCGCGTCTTCCACCCTTGGACTTGCTCTTGGGCGGCGCGTGCTTGCGGGCTCCAGGCGCAGGACGCTCCTTGTCGCTGGTCCATTGGCCATTCTCGCCGCAATCCCAACACTGAGGGGACTTCTTACGCTGGCTGGTCGACGCGGCCCTGCAGGTTCTTACCATGCGGGCGCCGTCGGTGGAATGCTTTCCCACGGCCCTTGGGAGCGCCCCGGGCCGACCGAATGGTGGCCATGTCCTCGGGGGCCCGGCCAATTCAGCCGCGGCAGCCTCCGCCTGCGCGGAGTCGTCGCCGTGGAACAGCTCGGGGATCTCCACGTTGGACGATTCGAGCACGGCGCTAAAGGCTTCTTCCAGCTCCGGTCGGACGATGTCTTGCATGTCGACCTCGGTGTTGTTGTCATCCTCCTCGCCTTTTGGCTCGTCGTCGTCCTCGGGCTCCTCCGCGATGTTGGTGGAGCGGGCCCGACCAGGTGGTGGTCGACGCCAGCTGTGACTGGGTCGCGTAGACGATGGGGCCCACGAGCGCGCGGGCACGCTAGCTTGCCTCTCGGGCGCGTGGAGGTCCGGGAAGATGCGAGCCAGCCCGCCGCGGATGCGCTGGTAGGAGTAGTTCTCGTCGGGCAAGTTGCCCACGACGCGCTCGCGGCGCTCGGCCGTCAACCCGGCCTTCCGGAGCATGAACCACCCCGCCACGTCGTCGAGCGCGTTGAGGTCCACATCGTTGTCGCGTAGTTGCTGTAGCCCGGCCTCGAAGCGGACGAGCCAATCTCTCATGCGTTCTCCACGGCGACGGTGATGCTGCGTCGACTCGAAGAACTTCTCGAGTGCCTCGCCCTTCTGCACGGGCTTCTGCTGTCCCAGGTGGGACTCGAGGTGTACCAGCACGTTGATGATGCCTTTGGGGTTGCGGTCGCGTCTCCTCTCGCTGGCATCCTCGATCGCTTCGTCGGCAGGCGGATTTAAGTCGGTCTCGGGCATGTTGAGCGCGGCCGAGCGGGCCGCGCCCGTGAGGCGGAGAGCCAGGCTGGATGCGAGACTTTGCGTCACCTCCAGGTTCTCGCTGAGCTTCCAGAGCTTCACTTCCTGCTTGAAGTCGCGCCACTTAGCAGGGTCACCGTTCCAGGTCGGGATGACCTGGTTGCTACTGTTGAAATTGTGATTGTCAGCCATTGTGTTGTAGATGCTGAAATTGAACTCGCAGACGTTCTCTGAGTTGTGGACGGCGTCGCTGACGCTATCGATGAGCTTGTAGATGCTGACGTTGACGTCGCAGACGTTATCTACGGTATAGACGACGTCGCTGACGCTATCAATGAGCTTGCAGATGCTGAAGCTGACGTCGCAGACGTTCTCTGTAGTGTAGACGGCGTCGCTGACGCTATCAATGAGTTTGCAAATGCTGAAGTGGACGTCGCAGACGTCTGGGTAATCGTACAGGTAAGAGCTGGCGTCGCTGCCGCTAGCGGAGTTGACCTTGTAGATGCTGAAATTGACGTCGCGGACGTCGAGGGTGTGGACAGCGTCGCTGACGCTATCAATGACCGTGTAGATGCTGAGGTGGACGTCGCAGACGTCCTCTGAGACAGCGTCGCTGACGCTATCGGGGGATTTGTAGATGCCGAAATGGACCAATGGACGTGGCAGACGTCTGGGGAGTACTCGTACAGGTAGATGCTGGCGTCGCTGACGCTGGCGGAGTAGAGCGCTATGCTCAGGCCTATGAGGGCTCGCATGACGCCACTGGGCGTCGATTCCGCGGTGATGCACGACGGCGTCGTCGTGGCTAATATGGAGGCGCGCGGCGCCGGCAGCTGAGACCCGCTCCAAGCTACCACCCCGATATGGATCGGCGCGCGGCGCCGAGGGAACTGTTTTGCGAAGCGCGGCTCGAAAAGATGGCGTAGCTCTTGCCAAGGGCCCTGTTTGAGAGATAGCGGTTGCGGACAGAGCGAGCATGAGAGAAAGAGCGGGGAAAGAAATAGCAGGGCCCTCGAGGCTTTTGGGGAATCCCTCTCGGGCCTCCTACATTCTTGGGGGGTGAGCTTGATTCACAGGTTCTGTGCCGGTGCAGCCCGATCCGCCGCGCACTCCGATTCGATGCCGATTGACTGGCAACGATGCTGATGACGATGACGATCCGCCGCGCTTTCCGTTTCGATGTTCGTTGACGATAACGATGCCGATGGCGATACGCCGCGCATTCCGATTCGATGCCGGCTGACCGATCGAGCGATGGCGACGACGATGGCGATCCGCTGCGCACTGCGATTCGATGCCGATCGGCCCAGCCTCCCCGAGGAGAACGAGGGCTGCCTCGTCTTCACGAGCGGGCCGCTGGGCGCCGGGGAGGGCTCCAGGCCCCTCTCCGCGCCGCGGTGGGGCGCCGTGGCTCCCGAGGGTTCCGTGGGGCTGAAGGCGCCGACGCCGCCCACGAGCGACGACGACGAGGACGACGACGACGATCGGGCGATCGGGGGACGTCAACTGGTCAGCTGATCACCTCTCCGATCCTGGCCGGGCCGATCCTGGGCCCACGATCGTTGTGCGTGTGCCTCCTCATTGGCCAGGCCAGGAGGGCGTATTGATCATTGTGTTGGCCAGGTGGCGTACCCCGAGACGAGGCGGCGGCGGCAGCGGCGGCGGCGGCGACGACGAAGACGACGACTTCGGGCGGAGGCGGCTGCGCTGGTGACGACACCGACGATTGTGATCCTGCGACGTCTTGAGTCCTCAGAGGTGTCCGAATGCGTCGGGACGACGACGGCGTTGGTCTGGTCCACCTCCTCGGAGGGCACGAATCCTGATAAAGATCACCGTATTTCAATGGTTGCCGCGGTTTGGCGGAGCCTCCCTGAAAGGCGTCGGAAGGGCACGCAATTTGATACATTATATTTCATTATGATGCCTGCCGCGGTCTGGCGGGGCCTCCTTGGAGGGCGTTGGAAGGGCACGAAACTTGATACATATCACACTGTTCCGATGCTCGTCGCAGTCGGGCGGCGCCTCCCCAGAGGGCTGGGGAAGGGCACGAAACCTGATGATTAACACGATGCTCCGATGCTTGCCGCGGTCTGGCGGGGCCTCCCTGGAGGGCTGGGGAAGGGCATGGAACCACTCGGTACTCCGATGCTTGCCGCGATTTGGCGGGGCCTTCTTTCAGAGCGTGGGTAACACTGTATTCTGATGATTGTAATGCAGCAGTCTGGCGGGCATCCCTGGAGGGCGTGGGAAGGGCACGAATCTTGACACAGATCGCTGTCTTCGGATGCCTGCCGCGGTCTGGCGGGGCCTCCTTGGGGGGTCGTGGGAAGGGCACGGCACCCGATGCGCACGATGGTCCGATGTTTGCCGCGGTCTGCCGGGGCCCCTCTGGAGGGCCAGGTGGCCTTGCTGAGGCTGGTGGAGTGGGGAGGGCACGACACCAAATACATGTCACCGTGTTCGGATGCCTGCCGCGGTCTGGCGGGGCCTCCCTGGAGGGCATTGGGAGGGCGCGAAGCCTGATAATTAATACCGTGCTCCGATGCCTGTCGCAGTCTGGCAGGGTCTCCCTGGAGGGCGTAGGAAGGGCACGGCACCCGATGCTTATCGATGCTCCGATGCCTGCCGCGGTCTGGCGGGGCCTTCTTTGATAACGTTGGAAGGGCACGACGCCTTCTAGAACACTGTATTAAGATGTTAGCCGCGGCCTGGCAGGGGGAATTTCGGCTCCAGATGGTATTGCGAGAACGCGCGACAATCTCCAGGAACGCCAGGAAACGCCCAGGATCGCACGGATCTCTGGTCTGTGGGGCATTTCTGACTAATTATTCCGACGGGAGGTCCATATGATAGTCTCCTAGGGCTCATGATATTGATGGCTCTAGGATGCCAAGATGCCAAGGCGCCACGACGCCAGGGATGCCTGGATGGCAGTCCCAGGATGCCAGGATGCTTGTGCAACCTGTGCGGCATATGGGGCCTGTGGAACATGTGGGGCCCGTGCGACCTGAGGGACTTGTGGGTCCTGTGCAACATATGGGACTTGTGCGACCTGTGGGAGCTGTGGGGTCAGTACCACTTGTGAAGTCTGCGGGGCGTGTGCGGCCTGTGCGGCCTGTGTAACCAGTGGGCCGCGTGTGCGACTTGTGGGGCCTGTTGGACATCTTAGCGTCGCTCGAACGTGTGCATGTCTTTTCGGTGGGGACCATCGATGAGCATCTTGGATCGTCTTGCGGAAATATTGCACGACTCCGGCAACTGCACGGCGACTGGACGTCCGAACGATGACAATATTTGTATTTGTGAAACTCTATTAATTTTGCGGGGCCGTGCCAGCATTCTAGAGATGTCAGGGATGCTGATGATGCTGATGATGCTGATGCTGATTATGATGCTGGTGATGATGTTGCTGTTGATGACGATGACGACGATGGTGATGACGATGACGATGATGCTGATGCTGATGCTGATACTGACCACGATGGTGGTGATGATGATGATGATGATGCCGATAACGATGCGGGTGAGTGTGATGATGATGCTAATTAGGTTGTTGATGATCATGACGATATCGGAGACGATGCTGATGATGCTGCTGGTGATGCTGACGACGATGGTGATGCTGGTGTTGGTGATGCTGACGATGATGATGATGCTGATGCTGATGCTGATGATGACTATGGTGATGCTGCTGTTGATGATGCCGAAGATGATGCTGGTGTTGATGGTGACGACGACGACGACGACGACGACGACGATGATGATGATGATGATTATGATGATGATGATGATGATGATGATGATGATGATGATGATGATGATGATGATGATGATGATGATGATGATGATGATGATGATGATGATGATGATGATGATGATGATGTGATGGTGATGGTGATGGTGATGGTGATGGTGATGGTGATGATGCTGATGTTGTTGATGATGATGGTGATGGTGATGGTGATGATGATGCGGTGTCTGCGCTGAGTCGGGCACTTGCTGAGCTGGGGCGGGGCGAGGGCTTGCCTGGGCCGGCAGCAGGCCGCACCTCTGTCTTGAAACCGGTTGAACGCGAGTTTTTTGCCAGGCGGGTTCGGCGCGCGGGGCGCCCCCCCGATGGCTTGGACCCTCGAGGGGCCGTTCTTGAGCTCCTGGGGGTCGAAGATTATACTGGGATTCCGTGCCTCCTAGCGTCTCTGGGCGCGGGCAGGTTGTCTCTCCCGCAGCTTGGTTTCCAGCCTCGGCCCCCGGGCGAGTTTTTGGCGGTTCGAGGCGCTGAGTTCATTCGGGAGATTTCTCGCGAGATTTTTTTGCCTGAGGAGCAGCATCGCAGAAACCGCGGGGGGGGCTGGGCTCGTGGGGCCCCGCAGCGACCCGCGTCTGCGTTCTAGAAAGGTCTATGAATCATTAGTGGCCCGCCTTCTGGCCGCTGGTCTGATTGAGCTCAGTCTTTCGCATGTGATTCGGGCGGGCCTGTTTGCTGTCTGGAAGTTCGACGGGGCCAAGCAAAGACTGACGCTCGACGCTCGGATTTCTAACTGCAGTTCCGCGGGGCCCGAGCCCCCTGGCCTCCCAGCGGCCAATTCGTTTTCGAGGTTAGTTCTTGGAGAGAATGATTTGTTACATTCGGCTTCCTCGGACTTAACACACACACACATACATACATATATATATATATATATATATATATATATATATTACACCGTGGAACTCTCCGACCCCCTTGGGCAGTTGTTCACGAGGGAGCCCCTGGGTGCCAAAGACTTGATGATTTCGGATGTGAGCGGAATAACTGTGGAGCCCTCGACGCTGGCGTGCCCTCGATCTCGGACTGCGCCGATGGGGTGGTCTCATGCCGGGCATGTCTGCCAGTATGTCGCCGCGTCGCTGATTCGCGAATCGAACCCAGATAAGGATGGGCTTCTGGTTGCGGACCGGGAGATCACCCCGTCTCTGGAGGCGGGGGCTGGCATTCCATATATATATATATATATATATATACATGTGGACAACATCACAATATTTCCTAAGGCGGAGGGGGCATTCAGAACAAGATCAATGACCTTATGGAAGAGAGGGGTTTGATCGTGCATGGCAAGATGGTCGATCCAGACGTCCTCGAGGCTCTGGGCTGGGAGTTTCGCCGCGACGATCGTTGCGTCGCCCCGAAGAGGCGTTACCTTTGGCGCCCCTGGCTTGCACTGTTTCATGCTCTTGAGCGCCGGCAAGGGAGCGGTCGACAGCTCTCGCGGCTGGTGGGCCACTTCGTCTCGATGGCCCCGGAAAAAAGAGGGACCTTGTGCTGCCTGAGCGCGGTCTATGCTTTCATGTGTAGATGCCCCGAGGAGGCGGTCACCTTCTGGCCGTCGGTGGTGCGAGAACTTCGTTGGATTCAGTCCTTGTTGCCCCTCCTTGTTCGCGATCCTGGAAAGCCTTTCAGCAGTCGGGCGTTGGCCTGTGACTCTTCAATGTGGGGAAAAGGGGGCTACTCGCGAGACGATTCCTGTCGACGTCGTCCAGGGCCTGGCCCAGCACTCCGAGCGTCGGCGTCATGGAGGTTCCGCGGGCTCCTGAAAGGTGGGGGCTCTCTCGAGCAGGCTCTCGGCGGGGCTCTCATGTTTGGGGGTTTCATGGAAGACGATTTCGCGGAGGAGGGACTGGTGCCGAATTTGCCGATTATGGGAGGGGTGGAAGGGCGTGGCCTTTTTGGTGGTTCGTGGAGGGTTCTACATCGTCAGCGGTGCAGCCCTGGGATACCGTGCCCTGGTCTGGTGTATCCGTCATTTTACACAATCTATTGCTAGCTGGTCTCAGCGTCTTCTGATCATCAGTGTCAGTGTGGCCGCGCTTCGGCCCGAGGCCTGGCGCGGCCTGTCCGCCAATTCTGTTCGGCGGTTCATCGGACAGATGCCGCGGCGGACCTCAGGCGGGTTGCCTCCGAGCTCAACCCAGGGGGCGCCCCCTCTCGCGGAACAAGTCAGAGTTGGAGCCGTAGTCCAGCGCCGTCGGCTCCCATCGCCGCGTCGTGGCAGCGGGCCCGAGATGGGGAGGGGGAAGGGGCCGCGAGGTGGGAGCCCGCCCAGCCAGCTGGGCGCCGCAGGCGGCCGACCCGCGAAAGGCCAGCCGCGGCTCGGCCCGACCTGGCGACGGTCGAGACAGGGAAGTCCCACCCGGAGGCGTCCGAGCGGAAGAAGACGCGGCTCAGCTTGCACGAGGCCGAGCGCTTGGCATTGCAGTCGAGCAGCAGGTCTTTCCTCGAGAACGGGAGCGTCTCCCGCCCGGTACAGATGCAGTGCAAGATGGCGCTGGGCCGGTTCACCAGAGATCAGAGTATTCGTGACCTGCGCGCCGTGGCCAGAATTCCCCGCGCACTCGATCGGCTGCTCAAGTGGCAGCAGGGCGAGTTGTATTTCGAGGGGGAGCTGGGTACGGCA